CCTTGCGCTATTAAAAACAAAAAGCTTCTTACTTCCAGGAATGCATTGGCAAGACTCCACAAGAACAAGATTTAACTTTTGAGCATGGCAGTGGGCATACAAGGCTAATGGGTGGTCCTCAAAAAAAAAAAAAAACAAAAAAAAAAAACAACCCTTAAACTTCATTCAATTGGCCGTAGTAAATTAATATCGTCTTATGCCTGATCAAAGTCTTGCAAAACTCTCAATGTGCACACCATAAGATGTGAGAAAATATGGAAGTGCTGTTTGATTTTACAAATTGTCATTTACACCTTTGTTTAATACATAAGAGTTTTGCTTATGTTTGAGGGTGTCTTATGACTCATCAAACAAACCTGGAATTCATTTCTTTTGCCTGTATGTGAGAAAGGATTCACAAAATTGTGTTACAGAATAGGTCAGTCTATTCTCCATGTTAGTCCAACTAGCTGTGCTCCTAGACAAAGATGAAATTTTTATTACAAATGCTTTGCTCAAATGATCTAAATCCAGATTAGTTGTACTAAAATTGCCTTTGCTAATTTTCCCAACTAAATAGCAGGAAGCAAACATTCCACACACAGTTATTTTTGTAGCCCCTTTTTTCTGTATCTACGAACCTTGTTTTGTTCTACCTTGTGAATGATGTCACCCTTTTATTTAGATGACTTAATATGCTGCTTAATGTTCTCTGTAGTCCAAGAGCAGCTATGGGAATAACATTGTTCTGCAGCTACTTTCCCATTTGAAAAACCTCTTAAAGCTGTTATCCATCTGCATTTTGCTCACCGTGTGTGAAACATCTATACAGAAAACAGTAAGCTCTCTGTTTCTTACAGCTATATTCCAGCCTACAAACCTATTTATGCTCCAGGAGAATTAAAACCTCCTTTTATTCTTCCTTTTTTCAGAGGTTTTGTGTATTTGTTGTTGTCGTCGTTGTTGTTTGTATGATTGTTTTAATCATAAACTGAAAAAAAAACAAAAACAACAACAACTTGGTGTGATAGCTTGAAAGAATCCTACATCTTTATTTCCTATATTTCTGGGTGGAGTGCTTTAGCTTTTGTTAAAATTACTAATATGGACTGTGACAACTCTATCTATTATTTGAAGATGATCTGAAATTATCAGTATTCACAGTTAGATATTAGTTTCTAAAAAAACTTGATTTTGAAAAAAAAATATATATTTCTAATTCTGTTCACTCTCTCATTTCTTACAATTCTTGAAAAAACTTTTACTTTTTTCTGAGAGACTTAAAGCTAGGGAGGATGTTTTGTCAAATACAGAGCCTCAGCTGCATTGCAGGTTTTCCCCACAATGTAAAATGTGTTTAATTTGCTTTGTAACAAATCCGATTTATAACTCTGCCTATAGCCACTCCCATTTGGAATTCTTTTTTAAGATCTTCCTCTGATACTGTGTTAAACACTGCATCAGAAAAAGCGGAGATGAGTTCAAAGGGAAGAACTGTTACTGTGCAGAATAACAGTTTAGTGAAAGTCATAGAATACCAGCTATGTAGGACATTTAATGCTAGCTTGAACTAAATGTTAGTTGTGACTCAGGGAAACAAGGCTGTAATGACAAGGAAACAGGAAACCAGAAGCTGCTAATATTTTTCCCCCTTTTACTACATTCCAGGATTTGGATCCTGATTTTCATGTATATTTGAGCAGTAAGTGAAGAGCTAAATGAAGTCTGATGAGAAATATTTCAGCATGAGGGAAACAGCTGGTTCAGTCTACACTTCTCACAAGTCACTGCACTCCCTTGTTTAGCCCATTTGTAGGAAGCTATAGACTCCATGAAAATGTTAAGACATACTGCTGCACTGTACTTTACTGCAGGTGCCTTCAGCAGCATGAAGCACCCAAGCACTCCTCCCAGGCGTAATCTACTAACGTAATCTATTTAAGTACCAGGGAACTCCTTCTTAGATGACAGAAGTCATCTGTCTAGATGCCTCTCAGAAAAGACCCACCATGTCCGAAGAAGTGAGGAAACTTCTGGAGGATGTATAATAGAAGGTAATTTGCCTGCACAATAAAATCAGGGCGGGACATTAAAAAAGAAAAAGGAAGAAAATGAGAAAGGAAAAAAGGGAAAGGGAAAGGGAAAGGGAAAGGGAAAGGGAAAGGGAAAGGGAAAGGGAAAGGGAAAGGGAAAGGGAAAGGGAAAGGGAAAGGGAAAGGGAAAGGGAAAGGGGGAAAAGGGAAAGGGGGAAAAGGGAAAGGGGGGAAAGGGAAAGGGAAATGTGACAGAGCTAGCATTATGCAAATACAAAAGTAAAATTAAACTTTTGTCGGAGCCAAGAATGTTTCTTAACATCTGGAACACTGACAATCATATCTGAGGTAAAAAGTCATATTCTTCCTACAGACAGCCAAAATACCTGCAGTAAACATGATTTGGTAGTCTGATTTGACAAGTCCTATTATCTACAGAATCCCCGCCGGCATTAATAGGTCCATTCATCTCAAATCAGTTTACACAATGAAAAAAAGGGAGTAAAATTAAGAGGAAAGACATCTGTTTAATTGTAGCTAGAAGTATGCGTAGCAACAACTTATACTGACTTCTTTTTCAATTGTATTAAAATGTGCCTAAAATCAAATTTAATTGTTTTCATACATGTACAGTACAGCACATAAGTTTACTTAAAGGACATGAAAAAAATGAAAACATAATTTCCAAAACAAATATACTAATATGTTCTGTATTATGACCTTAAAATAAATACTAGGCTTTTACATAACAATGGAGATAAATGCCAACACAGAGGGACCTCTACAGAGGTGACCCAAGTGCTCAGGTTCTGGTTTTATAACATGGTATTTTCAATGGCTATATCACAGTGTAACAGCAAATTGAATTCCTTGTGGAAGTAAACAGAAAAAATATATACCTTTATGTTCCTGAAGCCATTTGCTTCAAGCAGTTCTCTCTGTGCTCTACTATAACTGTTGTGAGAAAGCACTGGACAAATGCACTATGGAGGTACTAACAGGACAGAGCTAACTGTACTGACAGCTGTCTTGAAGATGGGAAAGGTGTTCTCAAAGTGAGTAAATAGTATGGAATGTTCAAAAAGAATCAATAGATTACTTCATCTTGAAGACTAAATGCTAGTTTCCTCACAACTGAATACAACAGCAATACCCAATTCTCTCTTTAAATATCCAATGTTAATGATCCGATGGTCTATATTTTGATACTTCAGAAGTTTAAAGAATCTGCTGAACTGCAACAAGAGTGAAAAGAACCAGAGACAAGTAGGTATCATCTAGTTCCTCCCTAACTTCATTAAACAGGGTAGGGAGCGACATAAAGCTCTGCAGATGACATAAAACACTGCTTTGCATTCTTTCATAATGAGAGTGAAGTAAGAAAAGGGGCTTTTATGAGATCTTTCTCTTGCAACTCATATTTCAGACTGCAGAGTCATATAGTACAGCCAGTTAAAGGACAATAGCCAGGTTGCTGGGTTTGGCTCAAGAGCTCAATCCTTTGTTCCCTGGTGTGCAGGATTGAGAGGATATATAGTATTTTTGACACCTGCTGTTAGGAGCTACTTTAGGTAATTTAAAATTTAATTAACCTTCATAGTAATCCATACAAGACTTTGTATAAATTCAAAAAGACCACGTCGAAACTTTACATTTCTGTTTTCCTTACCTTTCTACTTGTTAATCCATGGACAACTGATGCCAGTGGAAAAAGGTGCCATACTTTCATGTAGCTAGTTGTTTGGAAACATTTTACAACGTAAGCAGTTTGCTTCTAGTGAATTGGGATGAATCCCACTACTAGCGTGTTTGCTCTTTTCTTAAAGCAGAAGGCCACACCGTTAACAGCAAAACTCCCTGGTATTACAAGGCCATTTTGCCACTGCTGCTCTAGTAAACTGGGAAATGAATCTCCTCTAAGGCTCCATGACAGTGCTAAAGAGATGCTACTGAACGGGTGATTCAGCATGCCCATAGTTGTGCTCCCAGACCATCAGAAAAGGTTTTGGAGACCCTCTTTCTAAATAAGTACCTTTTAAAAGTAGTAATTTACAAGCAAAACAGTGGGGAAAAAAAAAAAAAAAAAAAAAAAAAAAAGTAGAAACGTAGGGTGGCATATGGCCAAACTTTTGACTTAATTTCACCACAGGTTGCTTTTTATTTACAAGCAGCTAATCCCCTCTCAAACTACACAATGGAGCAGCCATTGGCAAAGGCAGGCAGATAAAATTGGCATGCCTCTGTATTGTTCTTGCTAATCTGAACCATTAACAGAAGGGTGAGAAGGCTAGTTTTGTCATTTAAACAGGCTTAAATCCTTTCACCAAATGAGCTTTTGTCTACATAGAAGAATGCATCTTGGAAATTTAAGGGGTTTCTGTTAGTGTTGCATTCTCAAGTTGACTTGGCTACAGGAATACCAACCTGTTTATTTGGCCCCCATACTGTAAATGCAAGAATTATTTCCAGCTGTCAAAATCAAAAGGGGTTCAACCTGATTAAATCATTTCTCAGAGGTGAAACAGGATGAGATTATAAAGTGCTAAGAAGCAGCTATTTGAAATCCTGGACTGCACCTGTGCAACTAAATCTCCATTTATACAGGTGCTTTTCAAATTGGATTTGAACCTTTAAATTCCCTGATTCATCCCTTGGAAAACCACAGAAGCTCAAATAACTAATGAAATTCAGAGACAGAAAGGCTTAAAATAGTTTCAAGCTGTGAAGTAAGGCCTCAGACTAACTATGTTCTTTGATTCATTGTTGATGCAACATATCAAGCATAAACATAAGTTGCCCAACCCAGATGCCAGAGGTTATAGGGTAGTAATTTAGTAAGTAATTTTTCTTTGTTCTTTTTCTTTTTCTTTTTTTTTTTTGTCTCTTTTTATTCCCCTTAGCACAGGAGAGGTCACCACCACCACAATACATATCTGAAAACCTAGGGAAAATAATTTATTGGTAGCATGATATGTTTTTGCTTTTTACCTGGCACATCTTGCACAGATATTCAATGTGACCTTTGCTTGAGGCTCAGCAGGATGAGCACTTCTAGTTTGATTGAATTTGCTCCCAGAAGACATCAGACTTGTTACTCCTTCCATTCTTAGATCATCAAGATCCTCTGCAACAAAACAGAATATGCTTAAATTTTGTAGCAATAAAGTTATTTATTCTGCACCTGCAGAATGTATTTGGCAGGATCACTTAACAATATAACAACTCAAAAATCAGGAAGAAATCACACACAGTTATTTGAATAACACTAAGAAAAAACACTTCAGAGTATTTTTATTCATATATGTATTAGTATCCTGTTGTATTGACACGGGTTCATTCAAAAATATTAGCATTTCCACTTCAGACTGCCTATTTTTTAATCTTTATTTTTCAAATTCATGTATAAAACAGACAACACTTGTCAATTGCTTTGTGAAGAGATGCTGTCCAATACCTTTATTTGAAACAGGGATCCACATAGAAGAGAAAACTTTGTTTTTTTGAATGTATGATTCTCTTCTGATTTTTTATTATTATTATTGTTATCTATTCACTTGGCAATGAAACAGTATTACTAAGATGAAAGTACTAAACTCCCCAAAATGGAAAATAGATACATATATCACATCAAAAGAGACCATGTATTTATAACTACCATATTGCTGCATCAGCAACAAATAATAATAAATAGATTTTATACTATTGTAAAATCACTCCCGCTTTGCAGGAAGACAGCTGAGGCTCTTGGAGATCTGTTTGCCCCAGATCATTCTGGAATTGTGTAGCTGAGTTAGAATGTAAATGAAATCTCTTGGTTTACAGTCAGGACATTCTTAACATAATCTATTTATTTTTTACTAACATATAAAATTGGCATATTATGTATACCTACTGTATCCATAAAGCACTACGTAAAATTGTTTATAATTCAATTAGATTCTAGCTGAAAAATAAACGAACAAAGCACTAACTAGTTGCCATTGAATGAGCACCAACCATTTCATGTACTGACTAATGCATGTGACTTGTGGTATACAGTATGCAATCATCTAATTAAAATCTTCCAGATAATGTATACGTATACATTTTCATATATTTATGTCTACAAAAGAAACCAGATGTTAAAGAATACAAGTGAAGCAGAAAGTGTGCAAAGGCAGACTTTAGATCCTGGAATCAGATAGGGAAATGTCATGGAGAATTTTAAAATCAGAAGCTATATTCAACTGAAATTTAAAATACACAAACAGTCATTATAGATACATAATGTGGTACCGGTATGGTCAGATTGGCAGGATCATGTCATGTTAACCATACTCTTTTGGGGATACATCCATTTCAGTAAACAATATCCATTGATCATGGTAATAAAAAGAAAGAACATCAAGACTAAACTTTAATTTCTTGTCACTGAAGTGCTTGAACTAGATTTTCTTATCTGTGATGCTTCTGCTGCTTAAGAAAGCTCTTCCCCTCCCAAAATTCCTTGTCTTGGATATATAAATTGACAGTTCCACTGAATTTTCTGGCATCCATTTCCACAACTTTTCCTTCAAACTTTATCTAAAATTTTATATATTCAAAGGACTTGGAAAGCTATATGATAAAGAATTATAAAATCAATCATCTACGAGTCATTTCAGAGAAGGCATTACATATTTGGAACATATTATGTATTAAAATAAATAATGTTTAATTGTGTTTTAAAGATGTGTGAAAAGTTCCATATTTTTTAACAGATGTAAACCACTGGACGCATTACAGTTTAAATGAAATTGAAGCATATGCCTCATTCTTTTTCCCCATGAACAGATGTGATTTCTTTAAATGAGGTTTTCAACTGTTCTCTGCTTGATTAACTTTTGGCTTTCTGACGACTACTAAGACTGTTTCAATTGAACAATAACATAGGCTGCCCTCTACCATACCTTTTATATTTGACTCTGTATATCAAAATAATTTCATTTTTAAATTTTTAGGCAACACTTACCATTTTTATCTCAAGAGAAAAGTAAGTGAAACTTCGTGCAAGTAACTTCAATTTCAGACGCACCTACAGCTGCAGCTAACAGACAAGTTCGCAGATGATTTTGTAGGACTGGTATATTGTCATATGCTGTTAGCCCGATAGAAGTAATCTGTACACTGAAGTGCAGATTTAGAAAAATAAAAAGCACCAAAAAGCTATTAATATTCCTATCAAAGAAGTATAATTCCATCCTCCAAATCCAAATAAAATCTGCATTCTTTGATTTAACTTTGATTACCGCACTTCTGCCTCAGTATTGAATGTTTTCAGATTCTTCTACATGCCTCTGATTTACAGAGCAGATATCAGTCTTTCTCACTTTCTTGAAGCTCAACTGAGCTTCAAGAAGCTGCCTGGTTCCCAACAGCCATAAATTTGATGGGAATTTTCAAGCGCTGTGGGTTAGTTTACATGTCATCTGGCAATCTTTCTGACCACATCCATTATAGTCCCTTAATAAAAACAAACAAACAAATAAATAAATAAAATTAAAATAAAAATGCAATAATTTTAGTATTAAACAGTATATATATATTATATCTATACATATATAAAGAACAAATTAAGCAATTTGGTTAAACAATTGCTGCATGTTTTGCAGAGGAATTCCTAAATAGGAATGTTTTAAAATGAATCTTAACACTGAATGCAGTAATGTATTTTAAGAATAACAAAAATAGGTTTCCAAAGGTTCAAATGTTTCTGTGTAATATTGGAAAGCATCAATCTCAGCAAAAAAAAAGGATTGCATTAAGAAGTCAATTCAGTTACAGGGCCTGGAACACTGAATCTTTTCTCTTTCTTTGTATTCTTTGCTAGACCAACTAGTGATGATATAGCTGAGCAGTTCAGTGATTTTATTGAGCAGCAGTGAGGTAATTCACTGAGAAAAAGAGATAAAAAAAAAAGCCAGTTGATGATTGCTTCTGTGACAGAGGACAGGAACACTGTGAAAACTGTCAAATCCTTAGGAAATTGTTTCCTATCTTTGTACAGTGATAGGCTGGAAGTTTGAGTAAATGAGAAATAGAATAAGACTCAATCTCACTTGTACTAATAAAAACGTATTATTTCAATGCAAGACCGTGCACTGTATTTCTTCCATTTAATGTTATTTCTATGCAATTTTCTGTATGAATAGGGCATACGAAGGCCCAACATTGGTCCTATAACATTTCATTAAATATGTCCTACATTGTAAAACCAAAACAAAACAAAAAACTACAAAACAAACAATACTTTTTATTTTTCCCTCAAATCAGTGATTCAACAAAATAAATTTACAGAGCTGCAATCTTCATGCATTGCCATAACAATACACATGCTTAAAAAATGCTTAAAAGTGAGATAAAGATCACAAGTGTAATAAAGCATAGCACTGAACCAGATGTTTTCTATATTAATAATAATGCTGCACTAAGCTAAATTCTTTGTGATTTTTTATAGGCAAGTTTCATCAACAAAGGGAAGGGGGAAAGGGTATCTATTTCAGCTAAACAAGAACATGTCTCAGTAATCAGGTAACTATTTTTAAATAGGATGTTGCTCATAATTATTTATTTCCTTTCATTTTGGGGAGGAGGAGCTGGGGAGAGGAAAGAGGCAGTGATGCCAAGTATTCTAGAATCCATTCCAGATTGTTTAATGTCTTGGGATAAGAGGGTGTGCAATCCTCTTACAAGTTTCTAGAAAACTCTCAAAGCTTTCATGTTAGGGCCAGAGCTGCTCTTGCACAAAACCCTTGCTTAACATGGTAAAAGTTCAGTTGCATAGAAGGGTCACATAATACAGTTCTGTGCTAAACTGTTTGATATGATTCAACCATTTTTGCCTCTTTCCTCCATCATTAAATGCCATAATTTCCCAGGAGTAATTTAAGACGTATAAGGTGCAGAGCTTGAAAAAGTCCTGATTCATCTTTAGAGAGATAATGACTGCTAAAGGTTTTTCTGTTCAGTCTAATGCTTAGAAAGGCAATAAATGTTTTCATGTGAGAGGCAATATGATAATGAATCCTGATTTATGTTCCTGCAGGCTACCAGTCAATTCTGATGCACTGCTAAAATAATGGCTTTTTCTCTGTAGCAATGAATTTCTCAAGGCAGTGTTCTTACGTCAGGACAGACATTGATGTATTGTCCATAGATGGCATTGATTTGTCACAAATTGTTGGCTAAAGGACAGACTCTTAATATGCTCTGGTATTCTCATAAAAATAAATAAATAAAGATAAAATCTACTTCATGTAATAGATCTACTCGTGTTCAAGGAATTTCTGATGCTTTGCATATCATACTTGTATGTTTTATATTATGTTAACCAATCATCTCTGCTTTGGATAATTTTTCTTACCAATATCAACAGAGCCCAATAAAAATCCCACCTTAATTCCAAAAGAATTGTTGGAACATGCAGGATTTAAGCTTCAAAACAGAGGAGAACCATTAATCTAGAAGGTGTAATGTGCCACTCCTGAAAGTTATGTTTAATCATTTACTTCAACCAAAGGAATACTGGAGTTATCTTGTGCAATACACTAGCTACAGGACATTTCACTTTGTTTCCTCTTACTAATCTGTTTGAGGTTATAAAGCAGACAATGGTGTTTTTTCTAATGTCTTCCCATTAACACCTTCAAAACATCAGAATTTCACTCAGTCAGACCTTTGCCACAGACAGCTGATGCAAACATCGTCCCAAATAGATCTGTCAAAAGACTTTCTCTCCTACAAGCCATTTTAGGTTCCTGAACACAATTTTCTGAAGACATCTTATTTTATAAGTATCTGAAGTTGAAAATAAATTCCATACATATTTGTGCTTCCACTGTTGGATGCAAGCAAAATTATTTGAAACCTGATTCTGCTAAGACCCTGAATTTGCATGTCCACCTCAACCTGTATCATTTGCCAATTTAGCAGAAATCTACCCCACAGTCAAAACCAACCAACCAACAAAACGGGTGCTGTAGAAAGCAATATAGTTTTCATATATCTTGAAAGAGAAAATGGATCAGTGATTAGAGTTCTCACTTTTAATTAGCAAGAGAGAGAGAACTCTCTTCAGTTTCTCAATCTTCCTATTTTAAGCTGGGA